CTCTCCACGTAAGTGTTAATGAGTTCAAACCCAGACACCGGGTATACGTATTTCCCACTTACGGGCGCGAGAAATTTTTTCGGGTAAGTTACTAACTTACAGTCCTGGCGGCCAGTCTCAGTTTAGCTAGAAGCATGTGCAGGAAAAAACCGCTACCGTTAGCGAAAGAAACCTGTGGGGAACTATGCAAAAAAGGCATCTTCGCATCGGCAGTCGGTGCGCCATTTATTTAATTTGATTTCATTTATTAGTGGCGTTAATTGTGTTGTTTCTCGAAAATGTCATCATAGTGAGAATTGTGAAATGCATGTTAATATTGCGAGCTGTTGTGGTGATCTCGAAATGTTGTTTAAGGTGCCATTGGGCAAAGTGGGTTTTATGCCTGGCCGTATTGTACATACAAACAAAGTGATGGTCTTGTTGGGAGACAATTATTTCGCGGAATGTTCCTGCTTTCACGCCTGTGAAATCATTGAGCGCCGAATATCATGCAAGTGTTTTTCGTTTTGAGTAGCAGAGTTTTTTGAGGACATTTCATTTTCATGGCTTTACTGCAAATTTTTAAGAGGATCCATGCCTGCCTATCAAACATCATTTACTGTTCTCTGCGTATTTTTTTAGGCTAGCTGGCTTAGTGCGAAGTTAATAATCTATAGGTTTGCTAGTTCGGACGGTTCTTCAGCATTTTAAGGAATGCAGAATTGCTTTCTTTTGCAGTTATATCGAAAATAATTGATGATTTTGAAAAGCAGAAGAAACGAGCGGCGATGCCTGTGGAACTCGGGAACGAATTATTTGACACAGTAAGCTTTGTTGAGTTGTAGTTTTTCTCAAAATTTCTAGTTAATCGACAAGTCGGGCATATACCAAGGTTTAAATTCACATGATCTAAAAAGTTTTCAAAATTCGCGCACTTCAAGTTTGTAGCTGCTGGTCGTGCAAGCAGCTTAACTTGCAGCTTTCCTCTTTTGTTCCTGAAGTTTAATTTTGCAGGAAAATGGTCAAGTTGAAATCCGAGAGCCATTCGACGAAGCCAAGTATGAACAGGAAAAAATATGTAAGCTTTATACCCTTGTTTTATTGCAACTAAGGGAGCTTGTAATCTCGTGAAATAAACAAGTCCATTTTTTATGCGTGTTTTGCAGCTAAGCAACGCAAATGCGCATATTGACGAGGGGTTATCTGTGTGTCCGTGTGTTTGCTTGTGCGTTTGCCCCGATTTTTCATCTCAAGACCTGTAAAAGTTGCAAGGCTGAAACTTTGGGAACTTAATTTACATGCAAGTGCGGGTCCAAATCCCCAAAATGGGCGCCATTACCCGCGTGATACCTGCGTATGGGCCGGCCAAAGTTTTTTACGGGTAAGTTTATAAG